TGAACCCTATTTAAAGAGTTATTTATAATATAAAATAAGACATATTTTAAAAAGACTTATCAAACAATTACTAATATCTCTTTCAAAATCATTTATATTGTACTGTTTCTTCAGACACGAATTACCTCTAATTTGTTTACATAAAAGATGAATAAGTAGTTATTTATTTACATGAAGGGTTAGCTATTAATTTTTATAGGGTCAATTTACTTATTTGTTTTAATATTATTGATTGGTGATATAGTTATTTTCCACGTTTAAATTCCAATTAATTCATTGAAAGAAAAAAACATTGGTCAATGATACAAAGCATCTTAAAAACGCAGCTTAGTTCAATGGTTGCATATTGTTAATAAAATTAATTTATAACTCTTTCAAATAATAAAAACATACCAAAGTCATTATAAGTAATAATAATTAGTCGCATTCTCGATGAGAAGTTTTAATTATTATTTTTTTTTGATTTTTAATCTTATTTGTTTAGAAAGTATTAAATATAATTTTAATAAATATAAATTTATGAACTTTTACGGTGTATTAAAAAAAAATTAAAACATGTAAGTGTGCTTACACTAAAATATTTTTTTAACTCCGCCCCTCAACACAACACGAATTTGACACGATACAAATTCCATGGCTAGATACGATTATAAATTGATTAGACATTGGTTAAACAAAATACAATATGATTTAGATATAATACAAACCCACACGAGTTATTAAAAGGTCTGGATTTCTAACTTGTAAATAAACACGTACATGCTCAATATTCATCTAACTTGTAAAAAGCAATAAAGATATTTGTTGGAAAAGTATAAGGTCATAATACATAATAAGATATTTAGAAAAAAAAATATCTTAGGAAAGGAACCATTAGAACCCTGGAGTAAAAAACCTTAGAGAGGGCGGGCACGGTGGAGATGTATCGTGACATGTATAATATTTTATTTTTTGTTTTAAATTATATTAACATTTTTATATTTAATAAATACAATCAAATCAAAATATATGGCTCGAGAGTTGAGCCCAATTTTACTATTTCGGCACAATACCTATATTTGTTTTTGTGGGTACCGTAAACTTATCCTTATGATATTAATTTAATCCTAGATTTGTGACAACAAAAATATGGGTAATATATTATCATTTTTTAAAAAAAGTATCAATTTACCGTACTTTTAAAATTATTTATCAATTTATTGCAGTTTTTGAAAAGAGAATTGCTGATTTCGTTTTCACCAAGAAAGCAGAATCAACAAGAATGTTTTTAATACTTACAAAAATATATTTTTTCTTTTTTGTTGTATCATTTGTTGAAAGCGGAATCAACAATTCCACTTTCAATAATTAAAATAGCTCGGTAAATAAGTTAAAAAGTGTGAAAGATTGATATTTTTATTCGAAAATGACAATATTTTAGTAATAAATTCGTACTATACGTGTGTGAAATTCATTTGCACTATATGTTTATTCGCTTATCAAAATTCAAAGGACTGTATTGCCTCTTATAGTTATAGAGTGATGGATATTTTTCCAGAAATACCCATGAAGGAAAATTTAAACAAGAAGAAAATCTGAATTCAATGGGACTCAACCGAGCAAGTGCCCTACTTCTTGTGGCTTGAAATTTATTAATTAATTAATTGGTCCAAATTCACAAGTCTACTTGAAAATTTCTTCTTCTTCTTTTTTTTTTGGGCACATAACATGTCTACTTGAATTATCTGTAGATTTTGATGAGCAAATTGTTCCAGCTAGGGCACCATTTGGATCATGTTTGTAATGAAAATCTCGAATATATATGAACATTTCCGATTCACTCGCATTGAATAACGGGTGCTTAAACTTATAGCTTTGAGATACCAAACAATTGATATAACAAAACGATTTATTTATTATTTTTTTTGTGTATTTTGGTCAGAATACATTGGCTGAATGCTTTACTTATCATGGGTTAACAACATAGTGGATAAAACTCCTCCTATCATTCATTATGGAGTTTAGAGAGGATTAAATTTCATCATTCCATAGCAGTTTAAGCAAAGTAACGATTAGAAAATTATATAACAAAAAACTTTGATTCTTAGGATACCATCTCATAATTACTTTAACTTTGAATTTATCCAGATTGGACTGGACGATGGCAGGCTGGCTGGCTAAAAATGGAACCAAAAGTAGAAAACAAACATACGACGATGACATAGTAATTATCCGGATCCAGATGACTTGTGACTCAAATTTCCAACGTAATAAAAAAAAGTAACAAAATTCGTTAACACAAGTCATAAATTGACTAGCTTGATTTTAACGCGACAAATTTATATATGATAAATATTATATGAAAAAGTGTGTCATTTTATTTCTTGAATTATAGTTTTTTTTTTTTTATGTGTGGAAAAGATCTATATTTATTAATGGATCTCACTGGGAGAAAACTAATCTTAAATCAATACTCATGTTGAAGAATTATATGTGTCGGTTCAAACATGACATAAATTAATATAATATTATTCAAATTATAATAAAAAAAAATTAAGATAATATAGTCTAAATATGATATGAAATGACAAGGAGTGGGTGGGATGAAAAAATCAAATATTTAATTTGGCTTTTCTAATGAGTAACCATTGAACCAAAACAGCCAAACGTAGGATTGCCATATGCCACACACCAAACACCGCAAAATACCAAAAGCTTCAAATCATTGCACTCATCTTAGGTCAAAAAACCCACCTCTCTCATCTCTCTCTCTAATCTCTTCTCTGTAGATACATGTGAAAATCCGCCAACCAATAAAGTACAGTCCACGTCAGCCCTAAAATCTGGGACACCCAATAACTTTATGCCATGTCAGCAGATAAGAAAAAGCCCTTTCACATAAAATCTTCATTCTTCAATGAGACCTTTGCAGGTTGCCCATGAATAGGATTGGATAGTTCTAGTTACCAAACTGCCTATGTATTATGGGACTTATCACTAGTGGGCAGCTCATTTCTGTAAAATGACCTTAGTAACCCTATGCGTTAGGTTTATGCCTTGGTAGTGTAGTGCAGTGCATACTTATTAATCTTCTATTTGATGTAGGGTAAGTTTTTTTTATCTACCTTGTATAGGGTACATGTTTTTTTAGTGCTGGGTTAGGAAATTTTCTAAAAATTAATCTTTTTATTTGATTTAGCAGTAAGTTTTGAATCAAAGAAATATAACAGCATTTCTTTGTAGTTATTGATGCGCAACTTAAAAAAGATAGAGCTTGTTAGCTAAAAATAATTTATCTATAACAATTTAATTTTTTCTATTATGGCATATGATTTGCTCATTAACTTATCAGTGGAATTCGAGCAAAATTGTCAACTTAAATTGTGTTAAAATTTGACTCGTTTACCTCACGAGTTGCTATTTAGCCAATTCATTCAACTAAATTTTTTTCCGAGAAGTAGAAAGCGCAAGTTAAAGTTAAACACATTTTGTTAAGTTAGTTTTATAGTTTTAGCTAATATCAAGTTTTGAAACACCACCTTAAGGTTTACTTCTTACTTATTATTGGAAAAAGTATATGTATTTGAAATTGTCATTATTGTGAAATTGGTGCTGTTTGTGTAATTAGCAAATCTTTACCTCTTTATTAAGCCTTAATTTTTTTTGCTGAAGTCTTAATTGGCTTCCAAAATCCAAACGAGAACTTGAACTCTAAGGGTATTATGGTAAACGAACTACATAAAATAATTGCAACCGCTAAATGTGCGAAAGCACAGGCAAGGGAAGAGAGAGAGAGAGAGAGAGAGAGAGAGAGAGCGCTCAGTGGTCCCATCGTTAAAAATGCTGAGGTTTGTCTTGTCCGTTCCTCTGTTCTCATCTCCATCACTCAAACCACTTAATCTCTTAGTCCCACTATAGAGAGAGAGAGAGAGAGAGAGAGAGAGAGAGAGAGAGATGGGTGTCTGCTATTTCTACAGCCCAACCTCAACGGATCTTAACCTTTTATCTGCTCGTCCCGTGACCCTCTGTACTCAGACCCTATCTCTCTCTCTCTCTCTCTCTCTCTCTCTCTCTCTCTGCTAAATACAAGTCAATTCCTTGGTGTTATTGATTCCCTTATTATTGCCTAGCTTTCCATTCTGAGATATCTTATTCCTTTTGAGCAAATCACATCGATAGGCTTGAAATTTGGGTTTTGTGCATTCATTTCATTGGAATTTATATTTATTTTCTGAAGGGGCTCAAAGATAGTATGCTTCTTTGTATATGTCTATATACTCCTTGCTGGCCTTATATTTGCTCAAACTTGGTACTGGGGTTGTGAAGGGTTTTTGATGGAAATCAGATTTTTCTAGTTTCATACTCCATAGGTGGTAGTTCGAATATTTCAGAAAATTCACGGTAGTTTTTTAAGGTTTTGGTATTTAAAAGATATTGTTTTTAGGGGTTTTTAAAGGGTTCTAGTGTCTTCTTACTCTAAATCAACTGTTACAATCTTTGGCCTTTTCTCTTTTTTGCTTTTATTTTTTTATGAACCAGCTTTTTGTTTATATAAAAGAAGCAATCTTCAGGGTTTAAAGGGGGTTTTGTACTTTTTCTTTGGAGGTACTTTTACCTGTTCAACTCCAGTTCTGCAACCTCTGTTGAGCTGTGCTGGATCTCTAGTTTTGTTGCGAGTCTCTTGCTCAATCTCATACAATTGAAATTGTGTTTGGGAATTTTCTGCCAAATTCACCTAATTATGCCACTTTCAGATTGTATGTGAAATGGGTATTTTCTTGAATTTCATGTTTCCCCAGAGTAATGGCCTGTTAGATCTTGGATTCTACTTATCTGCCACTATTTTCATGTTCTAAAACTTGAATTCAATCTGTTTTCTTTGCCTTCTATTTCCTTGAATTCCTCCCTTCCAGATATTGTTAGCTTCTTTCTTGACTTCAATTTCTCAATCCTGTGAAGATTATATAGGCTTGTTTGTTAGCTGAATCTCTAGTGTGTTTTTGCTTTGTATACATTTAGAAATGTCTTCGTGTTTAAGCGGAGGAGGAAGGGCATATGGATTGGAAATTGAGATTGTTAAATCCCCAACAACTTCTTGGAATTCACATTCATCTTCTCCATCTTCAACTCTGTCTGAAACAAGCAATTCCCCTCTAGCAATCTCAAGTCGGAAACCCCGAACCCCCCGAAAAAGGCCAAACCAGAACTACAATGAGGCAGCAGCTCTTCTCTCCACTGCCTATCCTAAGATCTTTTCCACCAAACACCTCACAAAGCCTGGGAAATTCACCAAACCACAATACACTTTTTCCTACGAGTCATCTGAATTGCTTCTACCTTTTCAAGTTGTTGACAACTCTGGTTTTTCACTTCATCAATCAATTCTAGAAAAACCCAATTTCCGGATTGAGCCAAAAGTGGTGAATTCTTGTGAAAAGCCATGTCAAAGTCCGGGGGAAATTGAATTCCAGGGGAATTCCTTGGATTTGTGTGATGATTACCAAGAAGATTTCGATGCAGAATCAATACTTGATGAGGAAATTGAAGAGGGTATGGACAGTATTATGGGGAATCTTAGTGTGGACAATGACTTGGTCAATGAGTCCAATGCTGCTTCTTATGGTGGCCAAATTAATACTTGCTATGGTTATCCAATGGGATTCGGATTCGGCCCGAAATTGGACTTGAATTTTGGAGTGAGAAAAAATGTAAGGGCATTGAAACAAGTTGATGAGAGAGATTGTTGGGGGTTTCCAAGTGTGAATGTTTTTGACATTACACCAAAATTCAATAAAGTTTCGGGGAGAAAAAGAAAAAGAAGGTAGAAAAAGGAGTGGAATCAGCAAAAGGGAATTCAATTCCCCGGGGGGGATCTTCCAAAGTGAATTCAATTCCAAAACCACCTAAAGAAGAAGATTCAATCCCAAAACCCAATTCCGGGTTGCTCCTAAAATTGAACTACGACGACGTTTTGACCGCCTGGTCGGATAGTAAGCTTCCATTTTCCGATGAAGTTCCGGGAAATGATCTCCATGTACGTTTCTCAGCTCCCGCCAGGAACTCTAAATCCAAGAGAAATTGAACTTGGTTTCTGTTATTACAGTTAAAAGGGGTAGTTAAGTTTAGGCCTGGTGAGAAAGTGTGTGTTTGTGTGTGCGTCACTCAGCCACATTTTAGGGAAAGTTGCATTTTAAAAAGTTGGTTTGCTTTTATTTTAACTTTCTTTTTTCTCTGTGAATTTTTATACCCATGCAATCTTTTTATTTCTTGTATAATAATTTAGTTTTTGGGTGACTAAGGAACGTATACATATACGTATTTAACTTGGATAAACTCTCAATGTATGTACCTCAATATGCACGTATTTAGTATACGCGCATCAATATGTATAACATTTTGGTTGGCTAGTATTAAATTTACTTAGGCTTATGTCACTCCACCGGAATGAGTTCGGTAGTTGGCTTAATACGACACTATCCAATGGTTCTTATGGTCTGACCTCATTTGGCTTTCTTTCGTTGTTTAGTGTGTCCAATGACTTAAAAACGGTTTTATAATCATTCCTAATTCTCTATTTTTATTTGAAGTCAAAAAAGTAATGTTTAGTATTATTTATTCAATTTATTTTATTATTATTACTTACTACATGATTATTTTATTTGGGCCCTTAGATTAAAAAATAAACTCCAATTTTTTACTATTTTAAAACTTTGCATGATATTTTTTAGAAAATCAATAAAAAAAAATGAACGAAGCCAGAATTGGGTTGTTCTTGTTGCTTATTTTTATGGGGATGATTGAGATTGTGTATTATTGTGGTGTTGGGAGTACTGAATCATTGCCTTTATTGTTATTTTTGGGCAGGCCAGGCTGGCTCAGATAGACCTCTTCTCGGAAAGTGGAGGTGTGAGAGAAGCTAGCGTGATGCGCTATAAAGAAAAGAGACGTACACGCCTTTTTTCTAAGAAGATCAGGTACCAGGTCAGAAAAGTCAACGCTGATCAACGGCCTAGAGTGAAGGTATGCCTCCCCCACCCCCCCGCCGGGGCCCCTTCTTTTTTAAGCTAATTACTTTGATAATACTAAAGAGAAATGGGGCCTACTACCAAAGTTAAGTTTCTATGATTACTTCAAAAGTGCTTATTATTCTACCAGGTAGATTATGCAACAACACTGTTTGTCTGCGGTGTTGCAGGGGCGATTTGTTAGGAGGGCAAATTCTCCTGAAAGTGACCAAAGATAGGGGAGAGAGAGAGTTGCTGTTTGGGAAATACCATTACCATCCCATTTTACCCTCTCATTCCCTCTATTCTTCTACTTTGTAATTATTTTTTTATAATTTTTTTTCTTTCGAGTTCCCCCACCCCCTTCCTTCCCTCTGTGATTTTCACATTGGTCATGACGTACCCGAAGAGATTGAAGCTAGTTAAGAAGAGGAATAATGAAGGAGAAGAGTCCCAAAAGTTTAGTTTTTTTTCACGTTATTTTCTAGTCTTTAGAAGAAGATTTTGTTACTAGCATGGACGCCTTCTACTAGGTGAAACATTTTGGTACATTAAATGGTAGCACACAAGTCAACGAATGTTTTATCAAGACATTGTGTTTGTTTCTTATTATGAATTAAATATTACAAGTATTTTTTATTTTTTTTTGGCTGAAAACCCCCTAAATTATATCTACCCTCGGGGGAGGAAAATTTCTACTGTGTAGATAGCTCAACCCGCGCCAACTTCAAGAAAAATCTATAGTTGATCTAGCTGCAAGAGCCTCTGTCTATGAAAAACCAGCCATAAACTGGCCTTAATCATTCCCAATAGAGGTGCAAATGAACCAAATCGAGTCCATCACTTATTAGCTTGTTCGCTTGTGAGAAATGTTTGTAATGGGTTCAAGAATGAAATCGAGTTTAGACTGTAATCAAAGATCAAGTTCAGCAGCAACAATTCATTACCCAAGCTCAACTGTGTTATCAAACGAGCTTTAAAATTGAACTCAACTCGGAATGGTTGATATACAAGTGTTAACCTAACCAATTTTGTCACTCTAATTCCAAACTACATCTCCCAATACAATACATTTTATATCTTGGAAAGAGTAAGACGCAACGTTACTGATGGAGGCACTCGTTTGTCTGTGCGAGTGTTAATTGAACTGAGCCATATTAATGTTACCCAACTTTTTCTACCAAAAAAAATAGCAAATTTTCAATTCTTTTTATTTGCTTCATTTTGGGTTGGTTTGTACCAAGGACACCTCCCTGAAACTGAAACTCTGTGCTACCCTGCACGGAACCTTGTCTACCCTTTAACCCTCTTCTGGTTGTACCATTACCAATCGTGTTGAAGATATAACACTAGCCTAGTTTATTAGTGCTTATTAAATTTTTTTTTTTTACTTTTTTATCCTTATTATCCTCATTGTAACTTTCATTGACTATATACTTAGTTTGTATCCCTTTTTCACTCACAACTATCTCAAGTTGGTATCAGAGTCATACCTTAACCCTAACCTTCTTCGTCACCCTCACCGGCAGCCCTCATCATCAATCACCACCAAAATCAGCCCTCACCTTCAGCAGCGGCAGCGAACCAGCGACAACAGCTACAAACCAAAATCCCGGTCAATAGCCCACCACCGACAAACCACCCCCATTCTAACCGACTGCCACATTCTAAACGACAAACCAGCCCACACCAAGCAGCTCACTGCCCACCGACACCATATACCTCTGCCCACACCGACACCATTAAACTTTTAACTCCCAGCAAACATATACCCACCGACAGCCCACAAAACCAGCACCGACAAACCACCCTAGCACTGACTATCCTTGGATCAATATAACTCATAACCCACGACCCAGCCCACCTAAATTCACCGACCTAACACAAACATACCAAGCAGCCCACTGCCCAGTCCCAAGTCCACAGCCCACTACTCAGTCCAGCCAAACCAAACCCAGACTAGCCCCAAACCAGCCCACTCATTAATCCGCAATCGGGTCACGTTTATCTTTTTGTCACAGTGTTGTGCCACCTTTTTTTTCTAGAGTCGCGATATCTAGGCCTTTTTGAGGAGGCATCAGATCCTCTTCTCCTTTGATCTACTTTTGATGAAGTAGATCACTTATATATTTTCTGAATTTATGGGCACCATGACTTGATTATTGGGAGCTTTCTGAACCTTTTTTATTTGTCGCTATTGTTCGACTTGAAGTATATTATTCTCTCTTATTTTATCCCTCTATTTATCTTAGAGTTATTTTTTCCTGTCACGGGTGCCCACGTATTATTGTTGACATGGCTACTACTGAGGGACAAGAGACTCCTACCGTTGAGGCCTCTACTGTTGAGGCTTCTATTAGTACTTCTACCGAGCATGTACAGCCTACTTCTCCTATTTTTATGTTTGACCAGTACACAGTACCTACTGGCACAGTTGCTTTATCGGCAATGCCGGGAATGATCTCTTAAAAGGTTACGGCACAGTTGTTGAATGGTCGTAACTTTGTTGAGTGGTCACGTTCATTCCAGCTTTTCTTGGGCCGTGTAGGGAAGCTTGGTTGGCTGACGGGATCTCACCCAAAATCAGCTGATGCCGACCCTGGATATTCTGCGTGGTTCTCTAAGAATTGCGCAATTCTTGGATGGTTATTTGGCTCGATGGAGCCATCTGTTTGCATGATACATCAGTTTCATAGCTCTGTTCCGAAAGTATAGAGCTGATTATCAGAGATGTATTCCTAGTCAGGACGGGGAGTTCGTGTTTATGAGCTTTCTCAGGAGCTCTCATATGCTCGGCAGAGAGATATGACTATTCAGGATTATTATGGTTATTTGACTCAGCGCTGGCATGAGTATGAGACTCTATGTCCTCTCGCTGCTATTCCGAGGATAGAGCCCGAGGGAGCAGCATTCTTGCATACTCGAGAGCAAGAGGATAGGATTCACAAGTTCCTTATGGGACTTCGTGATGAGTTTGAGGGACCTCGTTTCCAAATCTTATCGATATTGACGTTTCCTTCTCTTTATGAGGTGTATGCGATGATTGAGCAGCATGAACGTCGCGTCCGTATTGCATCACTTCCAGTTGCGGCCTTGATTCCTCCAGCTGATCATATGACCCTTGCAGCAGCTGCAGGATCTCGTTCAGGATCCTCAGTCAGGGGTGGGCAGCACTCGGACCTGCGCCATCAAGGTGCCCAAGATCAGTGCAGACAGGGGGATTCTTGTCAGTGTGATTATTGTGGTCGACTAGGACATCTCAGGGCTGCTTGTTAGAAGCTTCATCCAGAGCTTAAGCCGCCTCCTCGTGGTCGTACTGCTGCTGTGGTCGTACTGCTGCTATTGCTAAGAGTCCGACTACTATTGCTGCCACCACTATAGGTATACTTCGTGCCGTTCATGCTTGTGCCAGTCCGTCTCCCCTTTGGATGCTGGACTCGAGTGCGAGTAGTCACATGACAGGTGAGGCCCATCACTTCACCACTTTTGACGAACAGTTACATACACAGGTTCAGTTAGCATATGTGGCACATGCCCCTATTGTTAGTAGAGGTACAATTCGCCTCCTAGATGACTTTACATTACGTTCGATTTTTCATGCGCCAAAGTTGGTTATGAATCTATTATCTGTACATCAGTTAGCCAAAAATTTTCACTGTTATCTGATTCGTGTTATTTGCAGGACCTTAGTACCAGGAGGATTATTATCAGGGGACATGAGAGAGATGAACTGTATTTTCTAGGCGATCCGCCTCCAGTTTCACTAGTTCCTCCATCTACATCACCTACACCTGCTTTATCTTTATCTGTTCCTAGCTTGCATGCTAGTATTTTACCTAGTAATTTTCGTTATGATTTTTCGTCACAAACTGTTCAGTTGTGGCAAAACCGTTTTGGACATACAAATTTTAAATATTTATGTATGTTGTTTCCTGTTTTGAACAATGCTCGTGTTGGTGGTAAACTTGACTGTGTTATATATTCCCTATCAAAACATGTTAGGACCAGTTATATTCCTCGCATGCACCAGTCACCCAAGCCATTTGACCTAATACACTCTGATATTTGGGGACCCTCTCCTATTACTGCTCTATCAGGTGTCCAATACTATGTGACATTTATAGATGACCACATCCGTTGTACTTGGGTCTACCTTTTGCATAAGAAGTTCGATATACTCCCTATAATCACTCAGTTTCTACAGATGATTAAGACACAATTCGATGTCATTGTTTGTGCTCTTCGTTCAGATAATGCCAAAGAATATGTGTCTGATACCTTAGTATCTCACCTTTCTTCTCAAGGTATCCTTCATCAACTCACTTGTCCATATACTCCTGAGCAAAATGGCGTTGTTGATAGGAAAAACAGGAGTCTGATAGGGATGGTACGTTTTATGCTTAGAGGCATGGGGGTGCCAAAATCTTATTGGCATTTTGCTATTTTGATTTCTATCTTTCTGTGCAATCGTACACCTAGTCGTGTTCTTCAGCATAGGGCTCCCTTACAGGTTTTATTTCCTGAGCGAACACTTTTTCCGATCCCCCCTCATGTTTTTGGATGCACATGTTTTGTTCAGGATCAGTCTCCTACTCGTCATAAGCTTGATGATAAAACAATTTGTTGTGTCTTTGTGGGCTATTGCAATCAATCTAAAGGGTATCAATGTTATGATCCAATTAGGCGTCATATGTATCACAGTCTAGATGTTATCTTTTTTGAGCATATTCCTTATTTTTCTTCCAGTCTTGTGTCTGCCCCTCCAGTTGATGATACTTCCTTTGATTTTCCATTACCCTTGGAGCCAAAGCCATTGGTTACTATCACTACAGAGTCATCGGTCTCTTCTCCTCCAGAGCCACTCATCCCTGGTACAGAGTCACCGGCCTCTCTTCCTTTGCAGGTTTATGTTCGTCGCCCTCGCTCTCATCCCCTTGCTAATGTCCCATCTATCTCAGGCGATACAGGTAATATTTCTCAGTTTGTTGAGCATATTGATGTATTTGTTGTTAGTACTGATGAGATTGTAGGAATCGAGCCAGTTGTTTTACCTGATGAGACATTGTCAGTGAAGGATGATGATTTAGAGCGTCGTTATCCGCAATGTGATCGTCGTCCAGTTGTTCGTTATGGTTGGACTGCCAAGATTTTATACTCGATCTCTACTTATGTTTCTTATGATGATCTATCTCCTACATTTCGAGTTTATAGTATGACCTTATTAGATACGCCGATTCCTCGCTCTGTTTCAGAGGCTATGCAGGAGCCCCAGTGGGTTCTTGCCATGCAAACATAGATGGACGCTCTTCAGTATAATCATGCGTGGGATCTTGTCTCTTTACCTTCAGGGGTGAAGCCTGTTGGCTGTCGCTGGGTTTACATCCTGAAATTTCTTGCGGATGGTACTATTGATCGTTACAAGGCTAGGCTTGTGACGAAAGGCTTTACTCAGGTACCAGGTCGTGATTTTGGTGCTACCTTTGCCCCCCTGGCAAAATTAACTACTGTTCGGCTGATTATTTTTCTAACTGCGGAGTACTCTTGGCCTCTTCATCAGTTGGATGTGAATAATGCATTTCTTCACGTTGATCTAGACGAGATTATTTATATGGATGCACCATCTGGCTTTCGTGGTGAGGGGGAGTATGCTGGAAAGGTATATCGACTGCGTAAGTCTCTTTATAGACTAAAACAGTCACCACGAGTCTGGTTCTCTCGCTTTAGTGATGTAATTGTACGTTTAGGGTTCACCAGATGTCATTCTGATCATACCTGCTTCATTCGACGGAATATGTCTGGACAATGTGTCATCCTTTTGGTATATGTTGATAATATTATTATTACTGGAGATGATGTTTCTGGGACTGCGCAGGTCAAGGTAGACCTTGGGAAGGCCTTCGATATAAAGGAGCTTGAATCTTTACGATATTTTCTTGGGATTGAGGTTACCCGTAGCAACAGAGGTATTATTTTTTATCAGAGAAAATATGTTCTAGATCTTCTCTCAGACACTGGGATGCTGGGGTGCAAACCGGCATTATCGCCCATGATTCCGAACCTGAAGCTTACTGCTGAAGGTGAGGAGTTGAGAGATCTGTTTGTCTATCAGAGGTTAGTAGATAGACTTATCTACCTAGCCAATACTAGGCCAGAAATTTCATTCGCTGTCAGCCGAGTTAGTCAGTTCATGCACAAACCATGTCAGTCTCATCTTGATGCAGTTTATCATATTCTTTGGTACCTCAAGTCTTGTCCCGGACTTGGGTTGTTCTATGCATCAGGATCTCAGACTGGTTCTCTAGCCTGTTATTTAGATTCAGATTATAGGGGAGCATATGACAGTCGATCTACTATAGGCTTCTGTGCTTTTCGAGGGACTCATCTTATCTCTTGCAAGAACAAGAAACAGTCAGTTGTCTCTCGCTCGTTAGCAGAGGTAGAGTATCGGGCACTGACATTTGGCACATGTGAGATTATCTGACTACGATTGATTCTTGGCGAGTTAGAATTTTCAGTGACTTCTTTATCAACATTATATTGTAATAATCGATCTGCTATTCAGCTTGCTTCTGACTCTGTATTACACGAGAGGACGAAGCATATAGAGATCGATGTTCACTTTCTTCGAGAGAAGATTAGCAGTAATATTGTTAGTCCATCGTCTGTGAGGACCAGTGATCAAGTTGCAGATGTTTTTACCAAACCTGTTACTCTATCCATTCTTCAGGACTCTGTTGTCAAACTTGACTTAGTTGACATTTTTTTGCCTAACTTGAGGGAGAGTGTTGAAGATATAACAGTAGCCTAGTTTATTAGAACTTATTAAGTTTTCTCTTTTTACCTTTTTATCCTTATTGTAACTTTTATTGGCTATATATACGGATCTTTACACTTAGTTTGTATCCTTTTTTCACTCACAACTATCTCAAGTAACCCGGTAAGGGACCTAAGAAGAACGATTGTCCCCAATTGGTAAGGGACCATCTCTATGTGGTCAAGACCTAAAGAATCAAGTAATGTACTCTTCAATCAGCAAAGACCAATCTGCTGGTTTAAGGGCTGGTACAAATTAAACAGAATAATAATAATAATTTTTCATTGATTTAAGTATCAATCCCTACCATTTGTGCTTCAACCATGAAAACATTATCCAACACAATTATGGAGCCTTCTTGTTTCAACGAATCCAATGGTTTGGGCAATTAAACCCTCACATGGACCAGTCAAAATATGTCCTCTTTTAACATCTTCATATTCACCTCACAAGTGGTATGAGCAAGTACTCGGCATAAAAGAGCTGCAAGAGGGAAGGAGATGCCAAAAATGAATTGAGTATAATTTAAATAAAGCCTACTAAGAACAAAATCAATAATTTTACGGCATCCATAGAATTCAGTGATTGATCCTTCTGTGTCTAGGTAACGACAATTTGACTGAAATACTATCGGGAGTTTCTAAGAAAGGTTTGGGTCAGGTTGAACAGAAAGGGCCAACCGCCCAGTTATTTTTAACAACATGCTTCTATAAAGAGGTGTTATAGATGCATAAAATGCTATTAAACGGTGTATAATATAAGTGTAACTAAGAAGAACTGGTTGCTTGTGACAAATCCATACCATTTGAATTACATTTAAGCATTGTCAGCTCCTACAAATGCCATGTCCAGCACAAGCATGAGATGCCGAAAACAATTACATAAAGGTGCAGCAAATTAGCAGATGTATTAGTGTTTAGAAGCATCAATCATTGTGACAACAGAACTTGAAATAGACTTTTAAGAGTTCCTGTTACACAATGAATACTTTTCTAGTGCAAGTGAAGTGGAAGTGGCTATATGGTTATTTTAAACAAGTATATTTTAGACCACGACAATAAGGACAAACTTTCCTGGCATTGGATCAATTAGCATGCATTATGCGGATAGATTTAAAGACTTCTAGCAGTATTCGCATTCTATCAGCGTGGATGAGTTCTTACCTTCCATATAAACATGTAAAAGGAGGTTATTGCAGCTTTGTTCTTCAGATCAACAGATTTTGCACGGTTCCAAAGTATTGAAGCCAACAGGGCATGACCCAAAACCTACAAATGCAAAAAAAGAATGCATCATCCTGAGCTAGTAGTCCAAAGTTTATTCTGGGCTGAGATAATTAGCCCTCTAACATGCTTTAACTTTGTAGATGGAAGAGAATCTGAGCCTTTCAAAAGAATCAAAGGGAATCAATGTTCGCACTTCAAATAACTTTAAGTGAGAATGTGCTACCGTGACGTATTTGCTCCAAATGCAGGAAGTTGCAGCTCCGACAAACAAGGCAACAGCATAAGCCATTTCAAGCAGCGATATACAGATCCAAAACACCTGCCAAAGAAGAATTTGGCTTAGCCAAATGAATCAATTATAAAGTAGTAAGAAATCTGACATTAGTATATATTAATAGCTAACCCATTCTTGACCTAATCTGACAGTAAAAGATTGAATGCCATATATCCTGTCTCCAACAATATCAGGTATGTCCTACAGCAAACATTCATTTAAAAGTTAAGAGTAAATATGAAATATGTAGAATATTCCAAATCAGGAATAATCCAAAAAAAATAAAAAAAAAAGAAAAGAGAGAGAGAGAGAAATAAAATGCATCATGTTTGCAATATCTACGCTGATAATCCATATCCATTGATAATTTTTTATCATTAGGTTTTGAGGAATAACCACTTGAGATTAGAGCCTCATTGTTCAGACAGTCTACAAAACTCGATAAGCATCTTGTTATGGAGAAACTGAGACTCCAACAATAAGAAAACATAGGGGCATAGTACCTAAGCTATCAAGACAAGTGTAGCTGCATAAGCATATCTTCGAGTCATGTTGCCAAAGGGGAGCAATTCTCCAATAATAAAGTAGCTAATTTGCTGAACAAATTGAAATTTCTTGCTAAAACTAGGGTTGGATTGTCGGAAATGTCATTGGATTTCATGCAACCAAGGAATTTACTGCAAGTTTCGAGGCTGAATTGTAGGGATACTCATTAATGCTGCAGCTACTTAAGTTACAACTAATAAGGATAAAATTTGTTGTACTAAGCCAATTCTGTTTAAATCAAGGCAACCCTTCTGATAGAATAGTCTAGTTGGTATCAGAGCACTGCCCAAAGGTGCATGGTTACAACATATGGATCACAAATCACCAATCTAAAACAGATTTCCGCAGGGCACTTAGATTTCTTTGCATGAATTTGCAACTCAACTAGACCCATAACAGAAGATGTGATTATTTTGAAGGGAAAAAACCATCAACGACTAGAAAAATGAGGCAAAATTTGCACAAGCAACGCATACTAGCAACCAGTGTGAAACTCATCTTGCAGCCGAGATTGATCAATTGATCAAAGATTTTTCTTGACATTAAGGATAAACCAAAGTTTACCTCAGTGAAATCCATTGCGCCATCTAAAGAAATTTCTTGCACAATATAGCTAAAAACCAATCGTGGTTATTTCTAGAAAAGATGCTATGCAGAACAAATAAAAAATACAATGACATAGAAACAATCAATTATGGTTGTTTCTACAAAGAGTCCTTGATGTTTGAATTACTAGTTACAATTTCTCTTTCAAAGAAACAACAGATGACAAATACTCCTGAGGTTAAATGGTAACAGTGGTGGAGCCAGGATTTTCTTCCAGGAGGGTCATAGCTGCAATTAATGTAGGCTAAATTATGGCAACAGGCAATAATGCTGTAGTTATATAAGTTGTTACTGATTGTAAAACTGAAAAGGAATTAAAAACATTGTGTAGACACCTGGAGGTTAGGGTTTCCTCAAATTAAGCCTAATTGGAAGCTAGGGTTTCCTTTAAGTAAACCGTTCTTTTCTATATTTATGCAGTGCTACTTTTTGATTGTGTTCTATCAGCACCACCAATACTCAGCTGAAACACTCAATACATTTGTCAATTCAACAATTTATGGCCTCCCTTTCTGTGAATATCAATACATGTACTATCCAGGCAGCACCTCACATGTACATGACCAGTTGGATGCCGACATATTAAAATGAAATAAAAATATAAGCAAGACAGTTTACCTTAAATAATGCTATGACAACTGAGAAGAAGCTCATGAATGCAGTTGCGAAAATCACAGGCTTTGAAAAGACGGCCGATCTCCCATAAACAAAGGTCTGGGACCATTATAAAGTACATTAGTAGTCAGACAATGAGCATGAAGTAAAAACAGTTCTACTAGAGATATGGAAAACAAGAATCTTTATGTTTTTTCCTCCATCGCATCTTCTTCTTGTAGCTGCACTTCAAAAACCCAAAACACTACAACTGCAAGAATCTAAGCAACAAGGACATTAAAAAAGCTAGGTACAAGCATATCATATACCGTGTCATGCACCCCATAAAAATTCAACTTACTTTGAGGTCACCAAACGAGAATTAACATGCAGTCAGTCTCCTAGTTATGTAGTCACCAGGGCTCATAGTGACAAATCTTTTGAAGATGTCATACGAACCATGCATTCATAAGATAATGCACATAAAATAACACATTTTTAGTCAGGAGAAGGTAGGAAACCTGCATGTGGAGATAAAATGCAATTTGAACGATTACTGCTCGAACAGCCAGGATGCACATTGCTGCAACGAAAGCAAATCTCTTCCATCTCAACAATGGTAGCTGAAACAGTAGACAAGATCTTAAAAAATCGAGTTAAAAAGGGATCTCTATGATATAGCATAACCTAAAAAAATCACACCTACTGGCCCATTTGACCTCTGACTAAAACTTAACCACAAAGGATCACCTTCCACCCAGAACTAACTTGCTGAAGAAAATGTAATATGTGATCTTATCAAACTTCTGTGATGAACAGATCACTGTGATCCATAGACATTCATGTTGTAAGAGTAAAGAAAAAAAACGCACCATTAGACACACCGACAGAGATGGAGAGGAACAAGAATTCCTTGAGAGACCTAATCATATGTCTCCTATTAGTCCATAAAAGGATATTGATCAAGATTATTGGAGATGTATTATTAATGAAATGGTCTCAAGTATGCACTAAAAACGAAATTGTAATAGTTAGTGAATAAGGATTTAAAATTTTTGGAAACCTCAAGTACTCCGGAATTCCAGCTTTTTGTTCTTAAGAATGCAATGAGAAAAAAAATACCAAAATTTCTGATTATTGCTGTCAGCGAATGCCTCAAACTTCAATACATAATCTGATTGGACAGAGAGGCAGCCGATTTCTTGTTTAATTGGGATGCATATAATGCTTGATTTGTCCTTGGGTGTTTTGTTGTGTTGTGCTTTGATTTATTTCGTTCCATATATTTTCTTGTCATTCGTACTGGCCAAATCGCTACGATTATTCCCACAAGTAGTATCAAAGCCGACAAACCACTGCACAATCCAAACAATCTCAGTCAACCAAGCTACACCGCAATGAACTTAAGGAACACCCACACACACAACCATTGGTCACCAAGTAACGAACAGTAAGAATGCCACCACCAGATACCTTAACTGCATTCTGTGCTAGTTTCAGTCATTTGATTTAACACTAAGATGCGTCAACCTACTATATAATTTAATGGGGATTCCAAAACCATTTTTGACATGCTAAAAGTCTTAATATACTTTTAACAATGGAAGAGGGAAAAGAAAAGGAGTAGGGGATGTCGAAATTGTATCAGGGCCAGCATTACCTTCTTTGACTCGTCTCCCTTCTTTTCTGTGTCAGGTCAAAATCTTGATACCAAGTCCGTGTCTCCTAGTCAAGGGAGGGGGGGGGGGGTTCTATTGCCTATATTCCCGAATTTGTACATTCCCCTCCACTAATGTCTGCTCCTCTACTTCAAGATTGTCACCACTCCAAGGATTGGGAGGTGGTGCCTTGGAGCTACCCCAACACTTGCTTCTACTGAGGTCCTGCCTCTTGAGTCGTCCGCTACTCCATTGCCTCTTGATCTACCAATTACATTATGGAAAGGTACTCAAAGTTGTACTAGCTCTTTCAAAACAGTCATGGATATCTCTTAGATGGAAGTTGGCTATGGATGAAAAAATGAAAGTTATCATAAGAATCATACATAGGACCTCATTCCACTGTTTTTTGATAAGCAGCATGCTAGTCATCGTTGGGTCTATGTTGTGAAGTAATAGTATTGATTATTTAGACCTTTTCTCCGTAGCTCGTCTTAACTCTGTTAAAATTCTATTTTTTGTTGCAGTGAATTTAGGTTAGCATTTATATCAACTAAATATAGATAATGCTTTTTTACATGGGAATCTACAAAAGAAAGTACACATGGTTTAGCCAATGACAAATGTTGTTTTTGGAAGGAACACTTAGTATGTCGACTGAAGAAAGCTTTACATGGCCAGAAGCAATCACCGTGTATTTGGTTTGATAAATTTAATATAGTCGTACTTCAGTATAACTTTCAGCGCTTTAAGTCGGATCACTTTGTGTTTACAAATTGATCCTCCACAGCTATCATTGTTCACATTGTCCATGTCGATGATATTATAATCAATGGCAATGATTCAATCGGTGT